GTTTTGGGTTTAGGGCCTGTTTAGGGTTTAGGGATGTTTCACATGAGTCTTATAACCCCAAAAGGAAGAGACCTGCGAGCCCTCTCAAAACTCCTGAACGCTAAACGAGCGCTGGTCAACTTTAGTCTACAGCAGGCTTAGGGTTTCTAGGGGTTCAGGATTTAGGGTTTAGGGCCTGGGGGGTCTAGGGTTTAGGGGTTTAGGGGTTTAGGGGTTTAGGGGTTTAGGGGTTATAGGGGTTTAGGCTTTAGGGGTTTAGGGGTTTAGGGTTTAGGGTAGAAGCCCAAAAGTTGGAAACCCAATAGCCTCAATCCGAAAAGAACCATGTATAGTATAGGGAATCACAGCACTAATTGTCCTTAACCGGGTTTCCAAAGTTTTGCGGGGTTTACTATAAACCCTACCCTAAACCCTGATATAGGGGTCTTTGTATGTAGAACAGGGTTTGGGGGTACATCGTACTACAATGACAATAAGGAACCCCTCAAATAGTATAGGTAATGATTCAGGCCCGTATAGTAAACCCTTAACCCTCAACCCTAAACCCTAAAACCCTAAGACTCTAAACCCTAAAACCCTAAACCCTAAAACCGTAGACCCTAAACCCTAAACCCTAAACCCTAAAACCCTAAACCCTTAACCCTAAAACCCTAAACCCTAAAACCCTAAAACCCTAAACCCTAATGAGCTCCTGAACCCTTATCTGCCCCACAACAACACAGCGTCTTAAAGGAAACTACAAGTCGGGAGTTTAGGGAATACAGGGCTTCTATAAGGCTTCCATAAGGTATATAGACCTTCTATAACCTAAGCCCTAAACCCTAAGCCCTAAACCCTACACCCTAAACCCTAGACCCAAAAACCGTGGCTCGGTAACTACCCACCTGACAATGTCCTAGACCGGCTGGGCTCCTGGGCCGTCAAGGTGCCCTGGAGCTTTTGACCTCCAAGGAGCTCCTTCTCGATCGCGTCCCAGCCTTGAAACCGTGGGTTTAGGGTTTAGGGTTTAAGGTTTAGGGTTTAGGGTTTAAGGTTTAGGGTTTTAGGGTTTAGGGTTTAGGGTTTTGAGTTTGATTTTGGTCGGGATTTAATTGTAATGCCTCTCCTTGTTTGCTTGGGCTCTGCTTCCAACTGCCAGTGCCAGTAGGAGGAAAATCCTGTACCGGGCTTTGGGCTTTGGAACTCTTAGGATCGCATTGATACAAGTGGTTGAAAAAAGGCCCTGTCTTCAACCATGTAGGGTTGCTGGCTTAGGCTTTCAGGATTGGGCCCACAAGCCCCTACACCCAAATAGGGGCCCCCCTTTTAATGAAGCCCAATGAGGTAGGGATATCCCTATAAAATGTTTTTGCTTATGCCCTTTTTGGGTCCCCAACCAAAGCCTGAACCCTAAACCCCAAAATCTTCAACCCCTGAGCGGTTCAGTTAAAGTCAGACTTACATTTCCGGACTTGTTCGGGGAATCTCTGTGTGTGTGTGTGTGTGTTCGGGTTTAGGGTTTGGGGTTTAGGGTTTAGGGTTTCTCTCTTCTCTGGTATTGGTACCCTTTGGGCCATCTAACCTCGAAGCCCTACACCTCGCATCTAAACCCTAAGACGGTGCCCTTTCGGGCGTAGCAGGCTCTAACATGCGCTGCACAGCCGGGAGGCTCTTAGTGCCCTTTGCCTTGACGAAGGCCTCAGCACATTTTCGATTCCTGGCAGTGCAGCCAATATTGGGGCCTGACAGGTTTCGGGGTATGGTAAAGCGACGAGAAGCAACCCTAAGGCGTAATACTGGCAACTGTTCAGGCTTCTATGTTATTCCTTCTGGGCATGTTGGGTGCAACAAGAAACTTGGCCGATTTCTTGTGTTTCCAACTGCCAAGGCTTGCCTCCGATGCTTGCATGTCTGCATTTGAATGCACATGTCGATGCACAAACGCACACGCATGTGTATATATATATATATATAAATATGTATATATATATATCATAACAACTATATGTGTATGTACACAAATACATATTATACATGCATACATACATATATATATATATAATTGCTACCCCCCCCCCTCAGTTATCTACCTTTTTCGGTGGCTTTCCAGGAATACCCTGTTGAATACCTTAATATGCCTTACATATGCCGTCTAGAATACCTATAGAGTAGCCTATACATAGGGATTCTTTAAACATGGAAAACCAGTCGGAGCTGAAGATCTGGGAAGCCCCCAGTTGAATTGTAGCTGATGGGCATATAATTATATATATATATGAGCCCGACACC